ACACAGAAGGAAGGAAATGTCGATGAGTACCTCAATATTCAGCAACGAGTTCAGCCAACAACTACATATATATATATATATATATATATATATATATATATATATAGAGAGAGAGAGAGAGAGAGAGAGAGAAATAGAGAGAGAGAGATCAATATTACATGGTCAAGAGTCAAAATATATTCAGACCATTTGAAGCACGCATGTGTTTGTACTGGATTATATGCTACAAAGGTTTCATCTCTGATAGTGAGCACTCTTCCCCGTGTAGATATGGTCAATTTGAAATCATCATTATCACCCCAAAATTTTATAATCTAAAAATATTTTTCTTGCTTTAAATAAACTTCAAAAGGTTGATAAGCCGTAAAAAGAATATATATATATATATATATATATATATATATATATATATATATATATATATATATATATATATATATATATAATTCACTCCAACCAAGGTGATAATATCACAAAAACTCATGGTACTACTGGGAGTGAAAGAGATTGAAAATACCTGAGAAGGAACTGGAAACCAACCCAAACCTAAACAAGAAACAAAGGATAAACCTATATTGCTGTTGAAAAGACTGGGGAAGAGGGTAAACCGGACGATAGGCGAACCTATATATATATATAGCAAAACTTTCTTGGCTTAGTCAAGTAATCCTACCCCCAAATTCTACTGTTTGTACATTTAAGGATTTTAGGATATGGAGAGATGGTCAGGCTGATAACTATTCACTTACACCCCTTCTTCCGTTTGTGTGTGTGTGTGTGTGTGTGTGTGTGTGTGTGTGTGTGTGTGTGTGTGTGTGTGTGTGTGGACGTGTGCGTTTGTGTTGACGTGTGCAGAGAGTTTGTGTGTTGTATGTTTTTGCGCACACCACTTCCGGATTAAAAATCGAAATTTCCTGCATGACCCAAATGTTCGACATCGAAAATCGATCAGCTTTCAGGATGCTCACTGCAATCCAAGTTGCAAACCGAATCGATAATCTATAATTCGATAAGAAGGATTTACTTTTTTGTACATTTTCCTCACTTAAAAAATTATCTTTCTTGCTTTTTTTTTTTTCTCCCCTGAAGGACGAACTATTTTCTTAATTACAGGTATTGATTCAGAGACAGCGCGCACCGCTCACGTCATATTACTGTTTGAACAAGGTCAGAGAAGAATTGTCAGGCTCTTTTGCGAGAAAAAAAACGTAGATATTAACACCATTTAAGGTAGGCTATATATTAATCGAGAGTAATGAGTGGGCTACACTAAAATTATCAGTATAGAGATTGGTCCAGAGAGAGAGAGGGGGGAGAGAGAGAGGAGGGAAAAGAGAAAGAAAGAAAGAATGGGGGAATGAGAGAGAAAAAATTGTAAGAATCAGAGAGAAATCATTGTGAGAGGAGAGGAAAAGCGCAAAATATACAGAAGAAAAACTAGAAAGTTAAAGGGAAATAGAGAGAGAGAGAGAGAGAGAGAGAGAGAGAGAGAGAGAGAGAGAGAGAGAGAATGGAAAGTGGAAGGTAAAAGTGGGAGTGAGAATTTGGTGGGAAAAGAAAGAACACGGTAGCTTAACGAACAGGTAATTACTTTCCGTCGGTGAATGCATCTTCCACACACACACACACACGCTCGCAGATACACACCCACATGCACATATATATATATATATACTCATATATGTGTATGCGTGTGTATGTGAGTGCGTATTTTACGTTGGCAGCAACACCTCTTTTATAGAGGTTTCCTTCAAAATAACTGATAATGCACTGTGATTATGTTTTTATTTTATTGCATGGCTACAAGATATTTGTTTTTGTGGACATAGTGAGTGCAAGAAATGTCCAAATGATCTTTGGATCCGAGCGCTTTTGGCTACTCTATTAACCATTATCAGAGAGTTTTTTGTTTGTTTGTTTGATTATGAAGATATTTTTAGCGCAAAAGAACGTTTTAATTGCCGAACACCGCCTGCACACACTGGCCGTGATATTACTAAGATTATTTTATTATTATTATTAAAGCCTCCATTGTTTTTAAGCGTTTACTGCAGTTAGATGTCGGTGTTTTCTACGAGTATGTTGCAGATAAAGGTTGGTAGGTTTCAGAGCTATAAACAGAGAGGAGCAATGTAAGCCGTCTTCATAGGGATGTAGTTGTATGCCTGATGTAATTATTATTCATGAATTTGTTTTCAGCAGGAACGCAGTTCCGTAAAATGTACGTAAATCCATAAATAATGTTAGTGCTTTAGATATTGCTGGGGAGTTGTTATTTTTGACACAATATATATATATATATATATATATATATATATGGAGGCAGAGAGAGACAGATAAAGAGAAAAGCTCCAAAAGTAATGCCTCTTACTTATTTCTATGGAAACTTCATTAGATGCAGTAACATCGGTTTTTTTTTCAGCAACAAAACAATATTTTGCCATGTCGAATCCGCATTGTATATACATTTTGAAATTGCCTGGGTTGACAAATAGGTAAAACAACTTGAAACCTGGCTTGTCACACACATCGCTGAAACGCATAATTCATCACATAACTGTGCTCGTAACCACCATTTAGTTTCCACAATGAATACAATTTCCCGCATGGAACAATTCATTGCCCCACCTCAACATCGTTCGCACTTTCATATTAGACGCCATTTTGTCAGGCTGCTTTCTCTAACAAGGCAAAAAGAATTATTGTTAAGTCGGGGTTGGTTTAACTATTACCGCCAATCTCCTAAAATCTGACGTCGTAGGACAATATAATTGTAGTGCAGAAAGACAAAATAATATCTGTACACTTATTATTGAAACATGGACTGCTCATGGAACATAGACAATAAGTGGGTCATAAAGGCATAGCATTTTTCAGTCATGCGCGTGTCGCACTAAAATAATCAGTATTCTCAGTACATGTGATTAAACCTTTCTTCACTCAACTTTCTCTTTCCAGTGTTTGCTTTGTATTTTATGGAGTTATACGAACTTTATAACAGATAATAAAATAGGCGATATTACTCTCACTGAGAGCGTTGAAAAAAGAATATTTTATGTAATTATAAAAATTAATCTGTTTCATTGTTTGGATTTTGAAATTTCAATCATCAAGATCTTCAATGTTAAAAATGGCTAAACGAAAATAAATAAAATAATAACTGTTCCACACTTTCTTTATATAGAAGGAAGATCTTTAAAGAAAAAATATTATAAATATATATATGTAAAGGTGCACACGTTATATTCCTCAAGTAATTTTTACATCTATGTCCCCCGTAGAAAAAAATCCCAAACAAAAGTCTCAAGAGAGTTGTTCACTTTTGTAAATGCTCCTGCGGATAAGGCATGGATCTAGGTTTTTATTTCTCTCGGCTATGGGTTAAATAGCAGGTTAAACTGGCCACTAATAGAAGTAAACTCTAAACTGCAAACTATAGGGAAGGTATTAGAAAATCACAACACTATATTTCCAATGAAATAATGGCAGTTCCCAGATCGTAATAAAATAAATCTGTAGAGAGTCATGATCGACAATATGATCAGTACTTAGCCTTGAAAAAGATTAGGTAAATGTGTGTTGTAACAGTTCATATTACTTCATCGAAAAGATGAAGTACTTATGTCAGTTTGTTAAGATTTACGTGTGAATTCGATCCTTACCGTGTGAAATATAAGAAGACAAACTAAGCTAAAGTTAGCAAATGTCTTACGCATCCTTTTTTCCTTTCATTCTCTTTGTCTTTCTCTCTCTCTCTCTCTCTCTCTCTCTCTCTCTCTCTCTCTGTATATATATATATATATATATATATATATGTGTGTGTGTGTGTGTGTGTTTGTGTGTGTGTGTGTCGGTGTGTATGTATGTATATGACATTCTGACATTGACGTTTCAGGAAGTATGTTGTTATAAAAGATGTTCGAAAGGCTCACACTCATATATATATATATATATATATATATATATATATATATATATATATATATATATATATATATTCGAAAGAAAGGAGAAGATTGGAAGAGGTTGGTAGACAGGCATATGATTGCGTCTAAAACGACAGACTGACAGAAAGGAAAAGGGCGAAACAGTTCTGATACCCGTTTTGTCGAACATTGGGGGGTCGGGGTGTGAGCTTGGAAAGAATTTCAGGTGAGCTTTGTCTAGAGGCAAAAAATATCTCGGCAGCCCAACTCAATTCCGAAATATCCTGTCCTCTGGGCGCGTTCAAAGTCATTCCACCGATTGGCTTGTATCTATGCCCGTTTTATCTTTATGACTTCACCGCTTCTTTTCTCTTTCTCTTCTGTATACAAACATACATACATACACACACACACACACATATATATATATATATATATATATATATATATATATATATATATATATATATATATATATATATTGTGTTACGCTGGCTAATTTTGGGTTGTTGCTTTACACGTCAGTGCACTTGTGTAATAATAAGGTCTAGTATGCATAAAAGAGCGACAAAGTATGAAAGAGAGAAAGATATAAATGAGAGAATGAACATGATAAGAAAGAGAGAGAGAGAGAGAGAGAGAGAAAGAGAGAGAGAAAGAAAAATGGATGAGCGAGAAGAGATCTTTTTCAGACATGGTAGATGTGGGAAAAGCAGAAGATGAGAGAAAAGAGAAAGATTTAAAATCTGAAAGAAAGAAAGAAAAAAAAGTAAGATAAAGGATGATGGGCGATGAGATTTTTTCAGACATGGTAGATGAGTCAAAGCAGAATAGGAGAGAGAGGAGAAAGATTTGAAATTTGAAAAAAGAAAGAAAGAAAGACATATTATGAGGGATAAAAACATGCGTCATGAAAGAGAAAGTTGTATAAAAAAAATGAAATTTCAAAGAAGAAAGCAACAAACTAAGAGGAGAAAGAAAGAAAGAAAGAAAGAAAGAAAGAAAGAAAGAAAAAAAATTACCGAAAGGAAAAAAGACAAAAAGAACGAAATAGTTTGAGTGATAGAAAGACATGGAAGATGAGAGAAAGAATGTATGTGAAAATAAAGTGGGAGAAAATATGAATTTTCAAAGAATGAAGAAACAAACAAACAAAAAGGTGTATACGAGAAAGAAAGAAAGAAAGAAAGAAAGAAAGAAATAAGAAGAGAGAGAAAGAGACACGGAGAGTAAGAAAAAGAAAGAGAAAAGCATAAAGATAGAAAGAAAGACTGACAGAGAGAATGAGGGAGGTTCTATGTAAGATAAAGAAAAATATTTGAATAAAACAGAAAGAAAGGAAAATGTGTAAACTTACTCGGATAAGGGAAAATTGTGTTTGCAGTTTTCAGAGAAACTTTGTATATAAAATGTAAAAGATGTAGATAGTTCTTGAATTGAAGCAGTATTTGGCAATAAGACAGTAGCTGAGCAACACAAAGTCAAGACAGAACTCCGGATCATATATATATATATATATATATATATATATATATATATATATATATATATATATATATGTGTGTGTGTGTGTGTGTGTGTGTGTGTGTGCGTGCGTGTGTGTGTAGCATAGAAGCCGCCCCATTAGGGTGGAATTTAAGGCAGCTTCTGCAGAGTTTGAGAGTCCTAAGTCTTTGCATATTCTCAGCATTGGAAGCTCTCCTGGTTGCAGTTTGATCTGGGTTTACATTTGCACGGGACTTTCTTTTCCTCGCTGCAGTCTTGGCACTTTTGATTGCAATCCCGTCCTCTGTTGGCGGAAATTTCTTTTTGCCAGGCATACTGCTGCCTATGCAATAGGCAACAATAAACTATAGAAGAACTCAAAATTGATCGCTCCATTTAAATATTGCATTAATACTTATGCTTACCTTTTAAAAGTTCGACGATAATTCTTCTGTCACCATTTAATTTAAAGGCAAATTGATGTACGCAGGTCTTTACTTTCCATACAAACAATTATTTCGATGGATTTCGCAATTAATTACCATTATTCCCAAATTTATTTCTATTTTATGAAAATTGTCATCGTACAAAAAAAAGAAAAATCGTCGCAAACATTCACTTAAAAAATCACCGAAAACAATCGTAGCAATGAAAATTTGAGGATCCAAAATTTCAGGCTTGTGGGTCTGAGTCTGGCCCAGAATGTTTTTAATTTGCTCACAGAGTTGGTCTGATTTCAAATATGGTATATGTTGGGCTACGGCCTCTTGGAGTAAAGTTGAACAAGTATGACACACTAAGATTCGCATTTATGTAGATAGATAGATAGATAGATAGGAACAGAGATAGGAACAGAGATAGATAGATAGATAGATAGATAGATGTATGTATGTATGTATGCACTAAGGGGTATCGAGGAGCTTTCGAACAAACCCTGCCCACCAAAATTCTGAATTTTAGTCATTTGTTTTGACTTTGGAGAGTGGTTTTGGTCGATAACCATTCTGCAAATCTACCTCCCTCTATCACACTCTCTCTCTCTTTCTCTCTTTCTCTCTCTCTCTTTCTCTCTCTCTCTCTCTCTCTATATATATATATATATATATATATAATTCTCAAAATGTGTGTGTGTATGTATGTGTGGGTGTGTGGGTGTGTAATCGGATGTTGTTTATGCGTTTCCACAGTTTTCATCCGATTTTGATTACATTTTTTTATTTGATAGATAATTCTTCAGTGCCGATTTTGAGTTTAAATTGTTGGCGACAATGACTCTCCACTACTTCCTGCCCATTATAACTCTGAGCACCGTTTTACTCTTTACTATCTGTTCTTGGATATATATCTATCTGTTCTTGGATATATATCTTTCATAAAATCTTTAATAAAAATAGTTGAAATTATTAAACTAATATTATTTATTATTATACAGTTAATTTATATAATTAATTATATAAATTATAAATAATAATTATTAATATTATAATTAATATAATTACAAATAATAATTAATTATAATTATAATTTATTATAATTAATTAACATATCTGTGAATAGAACCAGAAAATGTAATCTATATCTATAATTCTCAAAATGTTTGTGGATATGTGTGTGCGTGTGAGCGGATGTTTCCACAATTTTCATCCGATTTCGAAGAATTTATTTTTTTGTTTCATAGATGATTCTTCAGTACCGGTTTTGAGTCCAAATTGTCTGGAAAAAACTTAAGAGTTTGAAGGTAAAAAAATCCAAAAAAGACTTTGCGCAAAAAAACAGCATACAATCAATTTAGAGAGTTCAAATCTAACACAAAAGATGTCCAATTAAGAGACGGCCATGTAGCATTTGCAGGGGTGTTCAATGAGGCAACAGGCATGCAAAATAACATTTTTTTTTGGAGGAGGGGTTGATGAGGCCTCAAGCAAGATAACTTTTGTCAGGGACCTCCTATTTTCGTCATTTTTCCTGTGAAACAACATTCCCCTCTCTTGGCCAAGATTCTATCCCTCTCAAGTGTTATTACCTGTTTCATAAAGCAAACTACTACAGTTTTAAGGCGCTGCTTTCATTGTCGTTTATAGCCGCTCCCAATTTAATTTATTTTCCTGCCAGTTTTTGCATTGCATTCACCATAGTAATAAGTAAGCTTGCTTTTTTTTATTACACAACGTTTATTTTTCCGAACTTTCCTAAAGTTATTCGAGCTTATTGATTCCTGTAGCTTTACAGCATTCTCATCTGGTATTTGCCCATGCATTCCATTTGACAATTCATACTTGCCTATGACATGCCACCAAAGAAGAGAACTTGCCTTGGTCGCAAAACCGTTGCCACCAGGTCCGCTATGCGAATAAGGGATAACGAATCGTCTTTAGAACGTTCAGTTTGCCTGTCTCAAAAATGCCCCTCGGAATGCTTCAATCAGAGCCACTGAGTCCGATCAACGTAACCATCGGCTTTCCAGAAGAACATACCTGAATGTTTCTGCACGCGAGGCTGAAAATGACGATCAAAGGACTCATCGGGTGAGGAGAAACGCCTCTTCAAATGCTACTGCGCGTGAGGCTGAAACAAGATTGAGAACGCAAAAGCGGCCCTTTTCAAGGCCACCACCCGCCATTCAAATTGGTAAACCCCATTTGGGAATGTACCTCAGTTGTACCCAAATGTTGTTACTAATATTGGTCCCCTTGTTTAGGTTGGTGAATGTTACCATAATCCTTGCCATCAGTTCATCTTTTGATGTTACAACGAGAGTTTTGTTGGTCACTTACTCATTGCACCCCACACATAATAATCAAAGGGAATTTCAGTCTGGGGGGTTAGGTGGACAGATGTAAATGGGTGATGAGTTCACAGAAATTGGTTGACAGCCATGACTAGGTTCCCCTACTTGTATGGCATGGTGAAGAGTCCAGACTTATGGTATAGGATATTCCAGCAGCCACCTTCTTGACCCAGGGCAGCACTTGATATATGTCTCCGTGTTGAGACTGAGGCCCCGTGGCAAGATGAATGGAGGCATAACGTCGCCTTCATCAGTGATCACTCTAAACACCATGATGTTGAACTGGATATATCATCCAACTCTTTCTGAATCCCATGCACTGTCCACAGATTGACACCCAAACTTTCGGAAAATTTCGTATTGGAGTTTCAGAATGCCAAATAGTACAGCATGCCATTTCTAAATTTCTCATAGACAGTGCCTTACCGATCCTACTATAAAATGCAATCGACCAAATAAAAAACAAACAACACGCATTAATAATAATAATAATAAATGAATAATATAAAATGGGGACAATTTATCCATCGCACCCTGTATATAGGGACGATAACATATATCCCTCTACGCCCCATGCCTCTCTCTCTGTATATATATATCCTTCTGTTTTGCTCTCTATGCCCCTCTCACTTTTTGCCTCTTGGGCACGCATGCAAAAAGCATTACACACACACACACACACACACACACAAAAACCCAATCAAATGCAAACACAAGCCCAATCTCACACACACAGTCACACAAACCCAATTACACCCACCCATATATATATATATATATATATATATATATATATATATATATATATATATATATATATATATATATATATATATATATATATATATATATAAACACGCTAATTTCACTTATTAAAATGAATCGTATAATTTCTTTATGCATTCTGTCTTCTTGTACTTCTGTTATCAGTATGCATGGTCATCAGCAAGAAGAAGATGAGCCCAAAATACAAATTACAGGTCGGCGCTACTAAAATAAAAAAAAAAATGTCCAGAAATTTAAATATTTGAGAAGTGTTCTAACACAGGACGGAAAGTGTGACCCTGAGTAAAATCTGTGCTTTTTTTATTAATTTATTTAAAAAAAACTTTTTTAAGTAAAATTTTTGATGTTTCGTTAAACATATTTTAAATAAAACTTAGATTATCTTAAAATAAAACTCAAATAGTAAGCATATATCCCTAATACACAACTCGGCGTAATTTTGGAGAGAACATATCGATAAGATATGTGTAGTCAGTCTAAGACTGGAATTAATGTTATGTGTGTATGTGTTTTTATATATATTAACACGCTTGATCTGAGGCAAACAAAGAGAGAGAGAGAGAGAGAGAGAGAGAGAGAGAGAGAGAGAGAGAGAGAGAGAAGGGCGGAGAGAGATAAAAAGAGGGTGAGACCAGAAGAGGGAATGGGTACAGTTCATCTTTGATAAAACAGTTGTTTGTGGTGAGTAGTTAATTCATGTCGTGACCTAAAGTTCTGTCAAGGACAAATTCACCCCTGAACAGCAAGTGACCTTTTAAAATTGAAATCTTTTTATATATGTATATTTTTATATTCTATTGAAAAGAGAGCACCACTTTTAACTGGTGAGCCATTCGGCCGAAATCGATCTTTCTTCAATTTTAAATCTCTTAAGCACATTAATTAACGTAATCTGAGGTTATTTGGGGAATAAAACCAATAAAAATAGCCCTACGCTGGCCACTTTTTTGTCAGAAGGTCACGTGACCGTCAGTTGTCCGTTTTGTTTCCACCATGGGAGATCGTCTTACAATCC